TTTTCCGACCCAGGCAGCCAGCCATTAGTCATTCCGCCTGACGGTGTGTCCTCCCTGGATGCAAACCAAAACACAGCAAAATATACAGGCACCTGGCCCTCAGGTGTAAGTTTCCTCTGGAGAGAATAAACAGAAATAGTCAGAATTTCTACTGTTTGTTTGAATCTTTAGTTCAACATCTTTCGTCAGTAGTTTACATAACCTACTGTAAACCTTAATTTGAGGGCTTTTTTTAAATGATTCGGATGTTTTTGTTTTGTGTGGCTTCTCATAAAAACTCATCTCAAAACCAGAGTAATTGTGGGATATTTGATTCTAGGTTACCAAACTATAGGAGTATTAAAAATATTTGGACTGAAAATAATACTCATAAAAATAGTGTGGCATGCATCACGCTCTCAGGTTTTCCTAACCTTTTCCAATTCCCATGATTTGACACATGAGAGGGAAAGTCATGAGATCGACTGCAGGGCTAAATATTTTTGAGATCTTGTGCTGTCTTGTCTTTGTGGTGAATTTAATATTGCACTTAATGGAAATTATTATCTTTTGAGCAGCAGATCAAAAAAGCAGAATTAAGTTATGCAATTGTACAAAAATCTTAGCATGCAGCAAGTATCAGCAGTATTAGCATTTAATGCTCTGTTTGGAGACTTTGCCTTGCTCATATTCAAATATTTGGCGTAAGCAGATTTTGTCTAGCGATAAAACATTAGCCCTCTGTGTATAAACACTGTTGTAGGGAAATGTCAGATATAGTAGATAATATGTGACGCTTCTCTTTTGGACAGTCGGGGAACAAAACCATAAACATCCTGACTGATAAAGGTAAAGAAGAAGAAAAAATACATGTTTCAGTTTCTCAAATGGGATTATCTGCTTGAATTATCCTTCTGTTTGTACAGGGTTGGGCCAGAATATACAAAAAACCACGATGTAAACAAGACGCCATAATTAACCCCTGTTATTAAACAGCAAAAGGCAAAAACTCTAAGCTGGTTACCAACATCAACATGTAAAGTTAACACAGGCTCAGTGCTGTTTGACTGTCTGAGAAAAAGCAAAGAGTAAATATAAAAACTTAGCCTGTGTGTAAATGTGTTATATTGTACAGAAGTAAGTGTTCTTGTTTATCGCCATGTGTCAATAGAACAACAAAATCACTGCAAACTTGTTTACAGCTAATGGAAAAATATATACCACATGTATATAAAATATAAAACACTTTACATTTTAGTCAGTGTGGGGTCACCACAGCAGGTCCCTCCTGACACAACCCGAGACATGTGATCTGGCATTTTCTTTTTCTTTTTTACGTACTAGGTGAATGTTTAAACCACACCTTCATCATTAGAGTAACCGTGAAGTAAAACAGTAATCAGAGACTCGGTAATGTCAAACAAGAATGCGAAACGGCGCAAAGCCATGGGACGGTAACACTTGTTGTTTGTTCAGTTAAAAAAAAGCTCTTTTGACTGAAATATGTTTGAAATCTTCATTTTACCACATGTGGCTTTTATTTTTTTTAATACAGGAAAAACACAGAGGAGTGAGTCAAATTGAAGTTAGTAATTCCCTTAATTAGTCCACTGTCACAGCACTTTATAATCCATGTGCTCCCACATTGTTGTGTTTTTTTTTTGTTGTTGTTTTTAATCTGGAGTGAAAACGAGGTGCCAAGAATGTGCTAAAGTTATTCATAGACATAATGAATTTCTAACAATTCAGACAGATGCAATTATGCAAAAGGGTTTAGGACCACTTATTGCACAGATACAGTATTTGGCAGAGGAGGCCCCGAGTTTGAGGATGCTCCCCAAAGAGTCCCGGCAGCCTGCAAGACTGCAGCACATTAAAACATCCTCGAGGGCATACAGAGCAGAAATCAGCAGACACAAGTCTCTGAGATGTGGAATATACATAATGCACAAGGAAAGAAATGCCACGGCACAACAAGAAAACAGGAGGAGGAGGGAGAAGGCTGCACTTCCAGCAGCCTGAGCGATCGGAGGGTTGAGAGCAGGAGCTTGTCAGATGATTATTGACCTGCCTGAATGTGACTTGTAATTGTAAAAGTCGGCTCCTAGTGACTTTGGCTCTCCATTAATGCGATAGTTCCTGAAACCCGCTGGGAAATTACCTCTTCTCTCACTCCCTTCCAGAAGATAAGGGACACTTCGGCAGGGCGGGTGCTCGCCAGAGCAACAGTGTGTGAAACAGAGTCCTCTATTTAAAGCGCAGCCTGTCAAACCGCTGGGCCTCTCTGCCGCTATGAATTGCACTCAGCGTTTTGCACCCCCTTGGCTTTCTCATAAGTAGCTGCGAATGTGTCAGAGGTCCCCATGAAAATGTAGATGAGTTGCTGCTGAGGAGATGGCTTCAGCCATGTTAAAGTCAAGCCCACCTCAAATCGTGAGAGAAGAGGACAGAGGCCACTCTGAGACGAGAGCGTGCTACTGAGATTGATTCTGTGTGCATGCTGAGGTTTTTGTTGTTTTTTTTCCCTGCGTGCTCAGTGCGTACACCCACCTCTGGCTCTGGATTCCTTATATGTCTTTGCACACAGCAGCAGACCTGTAGGAGGATAATTAGACGTCTTGGGAGAGCTAAGTCATGCTTTGTTGCTTTTCCACAAAAAATGCCGGCTTGCATGCTTAAAAAACGGGGTGGGGGAATGAAAAAAAGGAGTGACCCAGCCGTGATGGAGTGATAGCCTTGCTTGTCTGGCGGCTTGTACCATTATATAAATCAGCACACCCTTGTTTGCTTTTCTTCAATCGATCCAACACGAGAAGCAAATTTGCCGGTCCCACAAGCATTTTTCAAAGCAATACTCCAAACAGAGTCCACCTGAGGTCTTGGCTCATTTCTTTCAGGACTATGAACAAAGATGTATCGAGTCCCACAGCACCTGAGACCTTTTACATCATACAAGCCTGGTCTTACTGCAGCTTAAAAATACTCAGGAGTAATGGGTACCGATTGCCCGAGCGGTGGCACGTTCATGTGTTCCATGCTGGTTTCTAATGGTGAACAAATCATAAAATGACCGCAGCACAACAATAAATTGATCCCAGTGTGATGCTTGTTGTAGGTTGGTCGTCTACTAGGGCTGAGTGATTAGTCAGATTTTATTTTCAGCTTTCTTTTAATGTATAAAAACAAGATAACTGAGGTAAAACTAAAACTACTGTGCTGCATTTCATTTCACAGCAATGCTCTGGTTTTGTCTTGGGTTATAAATCCAGCACCACCCATTTTTCTCCATCACTAAAAGCCCAAACACCCACGCGCTCTTTAGATTTACCTGAGCAAAGATGCAAAATCTTTATAGAGAAAGTAAAAGTTACACGAAGGTATCTGTGAATCTATAATGAACAGCATAATGACGTCAGCATCTGAAACCACAACCAGTTGGCAACCGGCTAAGTCGAGTCTCCTGTTGTAACGAGGCACGTTGCAGATGAGTTGTGCTCATCGGCACAGACCGACTCAGATTGATTGCAAAGTGTTGGCGGTGTCTCTGCGTTCATTATTAAGATTGCAGTTATTTTGCAAACCGTTGAACGATAGACTTTGAGGTCAGAAACAATTGCCAGTCTGGGCCTAACTCCTAGCCAGGTGACCTCATGCCACATCTTTTTATAGTTTCCCGTTCAGGGATGTTTCCTCTAAGAATAGCAGAATGTTTTGGCGTTGAATACATAATGAATAATGATATCCCTGGAGTTGATGAGTAATCATGTTATGTTATACTATGTTATCGCATAGTAATGCTGAGAACAGGAACCTTGAATTGCTGCCATCACAGCAGTAAAAGTGGATCAAGTGGTTGCTTCAATGAGGCCTACTTCCAACTTATTTAGCTGAATCCCACCAACTCATTTAAGTTTACCTCCATCCAGTCCAATTATATGAACTGCATCTACTGTACATGTTAAATTATTTATCTTTTTTTTCTGTGTTTACAAAAATTACTCAGTTTTCCAAGCTGAACAGGAACATCCATCCATTCTCTTCCACTTATCCAATTCAGGGTCCCGGGATGGCGCTAGAGTCTATCCCAGCTATCATAGGGAGGCGGGGGAGACCCCGGACAGGTCTCCAGCCTGTCGCCTGCTATTTATAACACCAGACAGATCGTTTAAATGAAGTCCAGCAGTGTTTTTATGCTACTCCCTAACATCATGATATGGTGTACAATTTTCTCTTCAGCAATGACAAAGACATTATCCCCTATAATTAATTCCTTGTTGACAATGTGTCTCTGCGCCAGTGTCACCCTATAATTTCTGTCACCACATTACACTCGTGGAGCTTATTCTGATCGAAGGAGTCAGCTAGAACCAAAAATAAAGCGCAGCAAGGTCAGAGAGGTAAGGTTAGGAAGAGAAGTTGTTTTCTCAGGTGGCCACGCAGCCTTTCCTTTTTCTCGCCAAAGAGACAGGGTGTCCTCTACCTCCCTCGATCTCTGCCTCTCTCCTTCGCGTTCAGACAAGCCCGTTCAAGACTCGGTGATTAATTATTTATCCAGGCAATGAAATGCCAAAGCCTGAAGAAACATACCACCAGGAGAGAAAAGGTCACGCTCATCCTGCACATGGGTACAACACACTCACACAACAGTGATGAATGGCAATAACATCTCTATCGGCACTTCAGGCAGACAGAGTTTTCATGCCGATGTTCTAATAGCATCCAAAAGCAAGGGCAGAGCAAAAAAACGGGGTGAAATCTTCAGGAGAGCCCTGAAAAAGCTCTGGTTCCTAAACCCATCGGTATGTCAGAGGTGGTAAACGGTCCGATCCACAGCTGTGTGTGTGTGTGTGTGTGTGTGTGTGTGTGTGTGTGTGTGTGTGTCCAGTATAGTAAACTGCAACCTTTCCTTGCGGTGAAAACGATATGTGCACGTTTTGACACCTGAGAGTTTGCGTGCTCAGTTTAGTTGAAGGGTGTCTGTGTGATTAAACTTTGATAACTTTGTTCATGTCTCTCTGCAGCTCCACGACACAGCTAGCCAAATGGGGTGCCAATGCTGCCGGATGATTAAAAGGTGAGAAGTGTTTCCTCTTGTTGTGTTTCTGTTCTTTTCTTTGTGCGCCACTTCTCCGTCTTACGCAGTCATCGTCCTTTTTGTATATTGTCACAACACTGATGCTCAGTAAAACCCCACAGTAATCAAGAACTCCCTCAAGAACTCTTGTTACGGAGAAAAGGAGGAGGGAGGAGGGAAGAGAAAGAGGAAGGGTTGCTCTACCAGGAAGGGCTGTGTGTAAAGAATTACAAGAAAACCATATAAAGATGTCACACCACTTCCATATTTACCTGTTGGGTCACTTTGAGTTTGCTAAGGGTTTATAAGTAGTGTCATGCGCTACAAAACTAAAAGACTTTCATACAAGTAGGAATTTGTTTTTCTTCCCAAAAAGATGATTTGACTAAAGTAAAAAGAGGAGTTTTGATTTTGGAATAGGCCAAAATGTTATTTTGGACAGTTTGGTGTTGGCACAGGGTTTTCCAGTGGGTGCATTTTATCCTAAAGCTGATTGTTTCCGTTTATTAAAAGGGTTGATTCTTGGAAATGTTCAAGGTTTTCATCAGGGGTTATAAAGTCAGGTTTCACAACTGCAGTATCAAAAAAAAAATCACTATTTACAAGTTAATCACGCTGTGACTTTTAGCTGTATTTATAGCTATATAAAATGCTCACTCAGATAATTGTCTCCCACTTTTTTTCTCACTCTGTCTTGGTGTAACCACTAGCTGAACGGGGATTGCCTGATCTTTTCTTGCAGAACAGCTAAGAAAATAACCCCCACATATATGATATACCGTATTTTCCGCACTATAAGGCACACTTAAAATCCTTTAATTTTCTCAAAAATCGACAGTGCGTCTAATAATCCGGTGTGCCTTATGTATGAATTCTGGTTGTGTTTACTGACCTTTAACAAATTTTACTTGATACACGGCGCTCAAAAATCTGTCAAAAACTGTTTTAGTAAGCTTGCTAAGCTACGAAGCTGCACCGCTTGATACATTGTCAGAGCATTACGGCTACCGTAGTCAGGAGCCTCACTGAGTAATCTGGGTCCAAAACTCCATCCGCTTCAGGTCCCAAAGTCAAACGAACACTGTTAAAGAGTTAAAACGGTCTAAATTATTTCATCTGTAATAAAATGATCAGTGTTGCTGCTTTACCAGGTGTAACAATTAAGTTTCACATCCAGGCATCTATGAAAACAGAATTTATTCAATTCAACGGAGTTAGAAGTTAGCAGGAAGTTAGCTCGCTAGCTTCCACCTAAACATGATATAGCATGTTCTGACTGAGAGATTTCTGAAAAAATTTAAATGTACAGCTCTGCTATCACTTTCAACATAAATGAAGACAGAAAACTAAACAGCAGTGACGTTTGTAGGGTTACTGAAGTTTGGCTAGCTGGTATATAATGATGTGCTACGTGATTGCTAGCGACACAGCTATGTTAGCATAACATAAACACAGTGAAGCTGGAGGATGAACGCTAACTTCTTTCCACTCGACAAAAGTTAATGTGAGGTTTCCTGATGGTTGGAGACAAATGTAATCGCATGGCAAGATGCTGTAAATGGACCAAACTTCAGTCAGGAGAACAACTGAGATAATCCATCCACAATACGAGGTTAGTCATTCATATACTGCAACAACATGGGAATAGAGCAGCTGCCAGAGAATTCAACATTAATGAATCAATGGTACGGAAGTGGAGGAAGCAAGAAGAATGAGTTGAGTAAAGTTTGACTTATCTGACTGTTTTGTTTCACTTATTGCGCCTTATGGTCCAAAAAAATACAGTATTAATTTTTTACTCACTCTAATGGGTCTCCATATACCTCTAAACAGCTCCTCAATAACAACCTCTCACTGTTGATTTCCCAATGTCACTCGTCAGTGCCACTTCTAATGTCTTCTTGGCCACTTAATGATTTCTTGTCTGTTTCATGCCGATAGTGAGAGGCCTATTTATAATACGTTTGCTTTGCGAGCCCCATGTGGATACTTAGTACAAACTGTGAGTCGATATGCCGATAGCCTTCACCTCCATGTTACTGTATTTTTTTTTTTTTTTTTTTGCCGGGCTGCCTAGTCATTAAAGCCTACACGACATCGTTGTCAGGGCTCGACATCACCGTGCTTTGTGAGGCGATCGAGGAGACAGAATAGGGCAGAGAAACAAGGCCTTGATTGCAGATTAATGAATGTGCACACAGCTATTCACATACCAGAGTCATAATCCCACTACACAGCTGTTTTTTTTTTGGTTTTTTTTCTTTCCCATGTCAAAAGATACATATGTGAATGCTTGTGACAAGCACGCATTCCTCTGTAATTGTCTGGAGTGTCACATTTCTGGGATTAACAGGATTGGGGAGGGGGGCTGGCATGGCTGGGCCTTTAGATTACTGGATCAGCAGTAGGAGTGGTTCATCAAATCTAAGAGGAACAATCACAAACAAGTCTGACTTATTGTGGTGGATGGAGTCGGCATGAATGGAGAAATCTTTGATCGGGGACGTGCACGCTTTGCGAACCCTTCGCTGGAGTATTTCCTTTGAACTTCACAGTGCAAGGTGGAAGTTCTCATCCACTTAAGACATAGGTGTCAAACTCTGGCCCGCGGGCCAAATTTGGCCCACAAAGCCATAACAAATTACTATTAGAGCTGGCCTACTAGTATTATACAGCTAATATATATATTGTTTAGTATTAAGCTTTGCATGTTCCATATTCAGTTTTTCAGCAAAACTTGTTTGAGTCCATAAGAAAAGATTCATTCTTATATCTAGAGGAAGATTTTCTTTCAACAAATATTAATGTTAGCCCGCGACTTTGTTCCAGTTTTGAATTTTGGCCCACTGTGTATTTGAGTTTGACACCCCTGACTTAAGAGGACAAAGTGCCTCACATTGAAAAGATTAGGATGTTCATCACAGCTCTAATGGTTTCACTGGCATTAAAATCTATAGGCACCTCTGCACCATTGTATTTCAGAACAGATGCAATCAGCTTTAATTTCTGTAGCACATGAGGGAAAGTAGTATTGTGCTTGTGCACGTGTCTAATCACTGAACTGCCTGTGAATGATCGTCATCGGCTCTAAAGCGAGCGCTCTGAAGAATCAACTTGAGCAACATGTATGCAAAGAATATGTTGCCTCTTTTTTTTTTTTTTTTTTTTTTTCCATTTGGCTCTTTTGCCATCAGAATTGTTGTATAAAGAAAATGTGTTTTCAAATGGTTACT